ATCCGCCGTCCAATAATAATTATTCTTCCCAATCTTTTACCGAGAAGCAAGACATTGAAATATTCTCTGAATCGTGGAACGGACATTCGATGCACACTGGAGATTTAATTGAGAACCGACGTTCCCAAGAGGCTCGCGGACAGGTTCGAAGGTTTATGCAGAAGCGGCGACTATCAGAGTCGATAGTCCCAGCGTTGATAAACACGTCAACTTCAAGTGCAGTTGAAGTCACGTCGCATTGAAATATTGCTTCGCAGTGCGCCATGCTCGCGCACTGTGTTCACACGTCCGCCACTAAAATCGCGTGTCCTTGGCAATTCGCTAGAACCAACCAATCGAAATGAGCCAATCTATATCTAAAGCCAATCGAAAGAGTACCACGAGAGAGAAAGAGTACGCGAAGTTTATGGAACAGGCGCGGCGAACGAAGCGAAGAGAAGAAGCGGCGTAACTTGCCGGAGGTTTTCTGCGAATTTTATGCGAAGCATCTTCCGGGAGGCATTATCAGATCGACGACACGATTCGTGACCCTGTTTCCAGACCGCGTTCGTGCCACCTACACGGCCGCGTTCCACATTCGTTGCTTGAAGACAAATGATCCATACGCGGCCGGTCATTTCGTCCGCATCCGCCTGGCAATCGCGCGATCTACAAGCTGTACGGCGCAGAATGTACAGTGGGTGGTCAGTGAATCGCTCGTTTGGCAAACTCCGGGGACAAACAACGCGAAATTCGCGCCTCCCTGGCTTCGCTCGCTTCCTCGCACCCCCTCCGGGCTCCCTCTTTCCTTTACGCTTCGCGTAGTCAAGATTTAACGGGTTCCTGGCCACACACACGCTTCGGTTGCGCAACGCGCAGCGATCCTCCTGATAAATGATTCCCGGGAAACTGTCGGCGGTGCACTACTTAAGGTGATTGCGGGACCTCGATGGTTCCGGATCGCCGAGCTTCCGATTGATTTTCGGCGTCGCGAGCCTGAAAAATGCTCCGGGTGCTCCTCGGGGCTCGATTCTGATTCGGCTTTTGTTTCGACGCGATTGGAAAATGGGGAAGGTTAGATCATGGGGTGGTTTTGAAGATTCTGGAGGGTCCTCTTGCCGGCTGATGTGTCAAGATTTACGGATGGATTCTAGCAACAGCGAGAATGGGTGTCTCTTTGAAGTACAATTGTTGCATCTTTACTCGCTGTCAAGGAATACAATGATTTTTGGAAGTGAAAATTATTTTCGTATCGGAAGAAGAGTGTTGCTGCTTCGTCGTAAAGATTATGTAGGATATTGTGGTCTTTTAAAACTGAAGAATAATGCTGTGTTGTCCTGAAGATGAAGGAGAACAAATTGCAATCTAATAAAGAAAAGTATTTTTCTACCTAAATATATATTCTCTATTATAATATAAAAATATAATATATAATTCTATTCGATCTAAATATATATATAAATATATTTTAAATATAAAGAAGGGTGTTACAGTGCCCTAAAAATTATGTACAGTATAGCATTCTCCTAACGATAAAATGGAGTAAAACAATACCCTAAAAATGAAGCAATGTGTAGCATTACCCTAAAGCTGAAGTAGAATATCGCATTAACCTAAAAATGATGTAGAATATCGCATTAACCTAAAAATGATGTAGAATATCGAATCGCCAGAAAATTGTAAAAGAGTATCGCATTACTTCAAAGACGAAAAAATAATTACTGAACGCTTTCGACGCCATGCTTTGTAAACGGATAATTGAAGGAGAATCTTGTCTGGTCGACGTTGTTTTGCCGTAGAACAATCAACTGGCCAGCCTATTTGCCTTAATTCACGGCTAACACAATCTATATCCGAGAGTGGCTTGTAAGGGTATTCAGCACCGGAAGACAACGCAGGCCGGTGGTACGGATAACGGAGCACGGTGTATAGATCTTGCAATTAGCTGCTCTTGTACGGTTCCTTCCTCCTTGCCTGTCAAGAACCTCCCTGTTAATCTTGTCGCTCGCTGGTTCTGTCTGCGTTTTTACTTTAGCCTGGTTACACTGACTTGGCGTGTCCAATGAAATCTTATTGCACGTTGCTTGCGTTCAATTCGCTTTCTTGCAATCAACGCGCTCACGGTAATTGCGCTGGAATTGGGCTGTATAACAGTGTAATCGGTTACTCGCTGAATTAGAAAGTCCTCTTTAATATTTACCATTAATTAATATTTAACATTATCGTTTAAACATCGAATTATTAAAGCATCGAATTATTAAAGCATTGAATTATTAAATCATTGAATTATTAAAGAATCGAATTATCAAAGCATCGAATTATTAAACTATTGAATTATTAAACCATTAAGAGATTAATTAAGCTCTGCAATTCGGCAGAAATCTACCTAATTGCACTTGCATGGCTCATTTTACTCTTCGCGTAATAGAAACTTACAAGCTGCTATACACAACGGAACTCGATCTTAATTAAGTCTTCTAAAGCAAAGTTAAAATTGCAATATAGCTACTAGTCTGTAGATTTGTGTTGATGCTGGCCCATCTTACTGCTACAGTGTTTAAAACCCTTTGACGGCCATGATTTCCTAAAAGGGATAGAAAAATCGACGTCTATTCAATGCCAGCATATTTTTCAATAATCAAATAAAACTGCTGAACATGCTAGTTAGAAAACTTTTCTTCTTAAAATCGTCAAAATATCGTTCTTAAAAAAATTCGACCTGCGAAGTTCGTCATTAAAAATTCCTACACCATTCCCCGAAGCAACTTTTACTTTGCACGCTCCTATTTAATAAATTTCTAAATTATTAAGTACGTTAATAGTAGCTGCATTCAATTTCGCTGAATAAAATGAAAAGAATCGCGCGAAACGAAAATATTACAAGATAAAGTGAAGATAAAATTCTGAGACAACGTCTCTGTTTTGGAGTTGCTGTTGTTTGGAGCTAGTTGCAAAGGGTTAATTATAAATTGTGGAAACATTTGCGGGGATTCCGGATGATTCGAGAAACGTCTAGCTCGGTTGTTCCAGCGACGATCATGGATCGCAGAGCGGCCACGGCCTTTCGATCCTGGGTGGTAGCAGGTTATCCAGACTGTTGGCCGGGCTGCTGGTTGCATGGGCGGAGGCAGGGTCGTGCAGACGGCCCCTCATTCGCTTTCCGGGTGCCACCCTTCTTTTCGAGGCTGCTGCGGCATATCCCCGGCATATCCCGGGCTGCGGCAATCACGCACGTGCTCACGCATGCGCTGACGTGGCAACGCCGCACGCATGGGCGCCTCTGTATCTGCTCTTGCACACGAATACATGTGACCGCGTGGGCGGCGGAGAGACGGGGAACCCCCCTTTAACGCGGAGATGCGAGAATTTCATGTCTGAGCAGTCCTCTGGCATCATTCGCTGCCCTGATCCTGCGATATTTCACTCGCAGAAAATTCACAAAAATTCTTTCGCTCGGATATAAATGAAAAGTTCGTCGGGAATTGAGAACAGTTTCCGTTTTCGAGTTTTAGTTTGTATTTTCTTCGCAGCCGAAATTTTGCATCGAAATTTGAGTTCGTTGTGTTGAGCGGGTCATGAAATGCTTATAGGTTTTTTAAACTAGAAAGAGAAATAAGATCGCCGTTTTTTAAATTTTTTGAACAGAGAGTCTTTCGTAGGAAATATGATTGAATAAATTTCATATTTCAAGCGCATGTAAATAGAAAAATTATAATAAAATATATTTAACTATAACATGAAAATATAAATAGAAAAAGTTCTCAAGCAGGTGTCAAACATCATTAGTGCTTGGTAGTTTTACTGTTAAAAATGATAATAAGTGTGAAACGGAAAATCAGGGAATAATAATATGCAGGAAGTAGAATTTAGTAGAAGATTGTTTCAGCTAGCATAAATCTTCGGGAATGAGAAATTCATAACTAAAGAGAAGTATTAGCCTTTTTACGCAACACTTGTAGTTCTTTTAAAGTCAAGAATTTACAATTACTACTACAACAATCTCATCTAAAATCTATCAAATTTCTTGTATTGATATAATACAAAGAAAAGAAAATTCTTGACTATGTTGTTGCCGGCGAGAAAATGAAGAGTTCGAAGAATTTTTCACGGAAGTAAGAATCGGCCGGGCTTTTTATTTTCATTAGCAGTGTCGAAGCCGCAGTTCGGTTTTATCGGCGCGACACGCAGTCACCATTATCTCGTTACTTCTTTCACGCATTTTCCAGCAATGGGCTATTCCTCTTTTCGAAGGGAAATGATTTATTATGCGGACTCTATAACCGGTAAATTTATGCACACAATTTTACATACGTAATAAGGATGAGATACTGTCAACGCCGCCAGGTAACAAGTTTACCTCGGCTGGCTATCGTTTGTTTCCTGCGCGGACGATGTGTCGCGTGAAAAACTGATAAAATGGCGCGAGCTGGCGAACCTACAGCACTCGTGAAATAACCGTTTATCGATTCATCAGGCAATCATCGATTCCCCAAAGAATCGGAGTCAACGGTATGCCTGTTCGCAGAATTTTCGATTCCTAAATTGAATTCTGTGGAAAAGGACGATGACTCTCACGAAGTTAACGCTAGATTTACGGAATCCGTCAGTATGACGCGGATCAATAATTTCTTAATTTACGATCATTCAGATTGCAAAGATACGTTTACGAGTTATTTATTCAATATATGTGTTGGTTGTTGCTAATGTTACAGTAACACTCGCTAAAAATCAGAATAAATGTTATTATTTTAGTGCTCCGTAAATCTAGTGTTATAGTCGACGAACGCCTAACCATTTAGGTTACTTGTAACACAAAATGTTTACAATAAAGTACTTTTCAATCCTAGGTCCCCTTCGTGACGATAAATTCCTACGAGCAAACTGGCACCGATTGGCTTAATAGGGAAATCATTCGATTCTATTTTAAAGCGAAAAGAGAATTCATCGCAATTAGAGGTTCGCGAAGTAGAAGGGCGCAAGTTGGATAGGTGGCTCCGTCGTCCAAGAAACACAGCGTTATCGTAAATTATGAAACATTTATTTATTGATTTATTTACTTCACGATTGTATTTGATCGATCATCACGATCAATATAAACATAAGCATCGGAGTGTGCCCAAATACGGTTCTTATCGTACAGGCTATATACATTATCGATAGGATATCAAGGAATATAATGTCACACTTAATAGAATGTTCTTGTAAACTCGTGCGCTGTTAGAACTCGCTAATTACACTATTATCTTTTTCTCACTCTCTCTTTCGTTCTCTATTTCTCAGCAACACAATCACACAAATTCCCTCGCATTCTTTAGAATGAACGTGTCGCATAATTCTTAGTATCTCTACGTTTCCCTATAATATAATCTGATAAACATCGTTTTGGTATATCGTCACAGCGGCTCTGTGCATTTCGTCGTTTGATTGCTACTCGTCGCTCCATAGTACATACTTCCGGTCCGAGTCAGGTCGCTAGCCTAACCGCTATACACTAACTTGGTCGTTCTCCGCGTACGTTCTCGACAAAAATAGACGTCATCTCGTGGATTTTTGGGGGGCAGGCGATATTTACAGGGTGCTCGTGACGTGACCGATTCGCGGTAATCTCCGTGAACCGTAAGAGATCCGCGGCGCGGCCGACCATGACAGGAAGCTCTACTTTGCGCGGTCGGCTTCGATCGACTCGCGGTCGGCTTCGATCGACTCGCGGTCAGCTTCGATTCGACCGAACGATCGACACCGAACGCGAGAACAGAACATACGCCCGCGTAAAGAAACGTCTACGGTTTCTAATTCTAAGCTAATGCCAAACGTTCGCGATCTTGATTCCTGTCAAACGTCCCACGCCACACGTTCTCTCGTCGCTGCAGACCCTCGAAACCTTCGGCAGAGTCACCAGTATCCGTTAAATAAAGCACAATCGATAAGTCTTCCAACACTCGACACGTCGCACACTTAGGCAATAGCATACGAAGCACGGTTTAATCACAATAGCGATAAGACTTTCTTTACACGACTATATACACAATCAAGTGTCCCGGTGTATTTACAGTATTGTGGAACGATGCGTTCGTTCTCTCTTTTCCGTTCTAAAGTTGTCGCGTTGTCTGCGGGAATTGGTACTCGGCGGATCACAGCTTTCGATAGAATCAGAATCGTCCGCGTAGTTTCCGTAGTACAGTTTCTAATCATTTTCTATCAGCTGACTTCACGGTTCCGTGCTAATGCTTTTCATTCGTATCCGACAAGAAACTGCAACTAGAACTCCTGTCATTACGTGAACATCGTTTCTTTGTAGAGTTCGAGTTGTTCAGTTTCCTGGATTCGATTCGGCAGTTTCTACGAATTCGTTAAAATGCGAAGGCTGTTACAGCTTTGAATTAATCTGTGCAAATTAAATGTAACCACCGTGTTGGACTTCGTTCAGTATTCTCAATAAATCCTCGATAATTTTAAGTCCGTTAGGGATTCATAATAATCTGTAGACTTGATTCAGCGTTTCTGATAAATCCACAAAAGTCTAAGATTCGAATTATTGAACGAAAAGAATTATTATCTCATCGGGATCGTAACAGCAGAAAACATTTATTGAAAGCTACAAATTCAATCAAATCCGACTTTTGATGAACTGAACACTGTCGCCAACATTTTCCCTAAGTTCAGAAAAATCTGAGGCCTGCTGAAGCATCGAGCTAACCTATCTACGATCGGAAACGACCATTCTGCAGTCCAACATTTTCTTTAAAACCATCACGAATCTGAAGTCTGCTATCGATCTAAAATTCGCCGACCGAGTGAAACGGGAATAGAAAAATCAATTCGGACATACCAGATCGGAAGCCTCTCACAAATTCAGTCTCAGACCCGAAGGTGATCACTGCCCGAGTCATTTACACCGTCTCAATCATTCCCCGCACTTCCTTCGCACCGAGTCTCAAAGTCCACTTGAAAACACTCGACAGTCTTCAAGTTTGCCGCACGTTGTCAGTCTTCGAGCACCGAGAGGTCTTCTGGGGTCGGTCCCAGTAGTCGCAGCGACGGTCAGCGACTCGGAGACAACTGGAGCAAGTAGGTGCGGCACGATCGTTCGGGCGATTTCGACGAGCTTGCAAGGTCGTTCTTTCTGATCGTTTCCAATTTGCTTCAATTGCTGGAGGAAAGGCCAAGTTCCAATCGGGCTTTTGCAACATGATGTTTAAAGCTCGTCGAAACCAGCAAGCCGATACGAGTAATTGCCGTAATTTGCCTCGATCTAATCAAGCCTCGATCTAATTAAGCCTCGAGTGTCAGCCGGAAGAAACTGTGTCCGCCATCCCCAAGTATCCAGTCCACCTCTGGTCCAGCTCCAAGTTTACGTACCGATTCCTCGGAAGCTTCGAACCAATACCAACAGCTTCGTGATCTTTCAGTAGCTAAACCTAGCTGCTTCAAGACCGAAACGCAGGTCCAATGACTCCTATTCGAAGAGGACCCACGAACGATCTTCTTCGGCACAGTTCCACGAGACTTTGGTTCGCGAAATTGTTGCCCGTCCTCGATCTGCGATGTTGCAAGGTCCCTAGGAGGTGACGCTGAGGATCATAGGGTGGAAACTCTGGGTTCTATCGCAGTGCAGTCCCACGGACGGATGTTACAGCGCCGTGAGGCCATAATCGGACTTGATCGCCGGCGGCGGGATGGGAGCTGTGACCTGTGATAGTCCGGATGGACTGGTGGCCGGCGCGAGAGGGCTGATGCTTCCGGAGCCTATGTGGCCCAACGGTCCCCCCGCCGGGCCCTCCATCATCCCGCTCACATGGTGATGACTCAGCTGCGCCTGTAGATGGGCCAGGGGATGCGGGTGACCTTGGAAGCTCGGGTGCACCACGTTCGTATGCGGAAGAGCAGCGTTCACCGCGTGAACGTCGCCCATGTCCAATCCGACGTTCGAGTCCAGACTGCTGTCGATGCCGCTCGACGGGGAATTGTTGTTGTTCTTCCTCTGGCTGTTGTTGTTTCCGGTCGGCAGCTTGGTCCTCGAGCCGGACGTCTTCGAGGACTTCGAGGCCGAGGCGGAGGACGACGACGACTGCCCGTTCGCGTTCTTCCTCCGCACGTTCTTCGTGTTCGGCAGCTTGTTGTCCTTCTTCCACTTCATGCGACGGTTTTGGAACCAGATCTTTATCTGCCGCTCGGACAACACCAGAGTATGGGCGATCTCGATCCGTCGCCGTCTCGTCAGGTACCTATTGTAATGGAATTCTTTCTCCAGCTCCAGGATCTGGTGCCTTGTGTACGCCGTGCGCTGGCGCTTCGGTTCCATGCCTGGCTGGTAGGAGCCGTTCGCTGGAAAACAGAAATTACGGGTGTTAATTCGGTCGTTGAACGACACGGACTCCGAACTTTGCGCGGCTGTGGTGAAAAGTCGTAGTAAATGCGTGTGAATCGTTTGAAATTCACGCAAGTTACGAAATTGATGCAATTTGAACAATTTGTGCACGTTATACGATTTATGCATGTTGTACAATTTGTATAAGTTATACAGTTTATACAAGTTATACAACTTATACAAGTTATACAAATTATACAATTTACGCAAGTTCTACAATTTACTCAATTGATACAATTTATACAAGTTATACGATTTATACAAATAATAAAATTGATGCAATTTACACAGCTTGTGTACAGTTTGGACAAATTATATTAATCATGTAAAACTTGTATAAATCACATACAACGTGTTATGCAAGCAAATAAACAGTAAACGCAGAAGATACATTTACCAATACTGCTAGATTATTTTCAAATCATTATAAATGTTAACACCAAACTTATTAAGCACCGAAGATGTCTGGCATACAAGTCGAAATGTATTTAGACAAATTGCCACTTCTGTCATAATGTGTGCTTGACTTAAGAAATGCATTGAATCATTACCGTCGGCAAGACTCTTTATAATTTTAACGGTTTTAAAATGAAACATACGGGTAGACATGATAGATTTGGTGTTAAGAATGTAGATGTTGGAGAAAAATTTTGTGACAGTAAAATATATACTTAGTAGTTAGTAAAGGAAGTAATTCAGGCTTAATTGAAGACCCTTATTCCCGTGATCAGTGCGACTCGACAGTGGCGACGGAACCCGTCGCTTGAAAACTACCTCGCATCTGCTGCATACTACAATGCACAATGTCAAAGTCGCCGACTCTTTAAATTAACGCTTTGACTGCCGCAACAATAACCTCAGAAACTTTACAAAACTAGAGTATATTATTTAATGGAACTTTAATTGAAAAGTTAAGTTGCATGCTATCGATTAACTTTCTGACATTCTTACGTTTCGTTGGTTCTAATAAAATCAGGAAGATATAATAGATTAGCTTGAAAATTACGAACAATTGACTGAGATTGTAACGAGCAGGCTGTGGATCTTTATGCAAAATAAAAATTGTCCGAGACGATCTTAAGGAACAGATATTACATGAAAATAAATTGTTTCTTTTGATCATTCGTATAAGTTGAAAACAGTGTAACTGTAGTATCAAATTTTATCTACGTCTATGCAATTTTATAATTCAGCTACCAATTATTGCCATAAACCCAAACATATTCCATGCATCTCCAAATGAACGTCGTCGTTCGAATTCAATACAAAATCAGTATAAAATCAATATCAAATGAATATAAAATTAGTATAAAATCAGTATAAAATCAATATAAAATCAGCAATTGTACAAAAATATTATAAATAAAATAAAATATATAGAAACAATCGTACTTACAATTCGTAAAATATACAAGCTATTGTCCCGAACGTTTCAGCGAACGTTTCCCTAAAAAATCGAAGTATCATTCACTCCAATACATAATACATGGCTCGATAAAATCGATACGCGATTACGCGAAAGAAAACACATATGAATATGTATGAGGGCACTCCGTTCCAAAGATGTAGATCTATTTTTTTACATTGATTTATCAAAGCCTGCGAGCGTTCCCTGTCGAAGAAAACAATTTTCCCGGCGTGCTCCCGCGAAGTACGTAACCGTTCTGACCTTGCGTGTTACTACAAAATGGCGCAATACGTGTCCGCGTTTGCTGGTAGCATCATTCGTCAATAATATCGCATAATTCCCTGTTTGGTATGCAAGAATCGGCCTTTTCGCTCATGTTTCCATTATTCTTATCTCGGCGTTGGCTCGCTCGTCTCGAATGCGCTCGGAGAAGCGTGAGTAGTTCGCAAACAACCCCGCGGATAATCTCTTGGGAACACCTGACGCCCCCTTCGCATTATTGCTCGCGTTTCCCTTGCAAACTTCTCCCAATAATTACACTCTGCTCAAACACTTCCGCCGAGGAACGGGGAAAAACGATTTAACAATTTCAGGAAACGAGAGCGCTAAAACTCGACATATTTTCCTGTTAGACTGCGGCCATTTCTGTACGAACATTCGCAGTGACATGAACTCGTGAACTCCGGGGAGTTTTTAAAATTTCTGAGAATTTTTAGAAATCTGTAATCCGTAGCTGGGAGTTCATAGAAAATGTTTGATAACAGCAATTTCAATCGTGAAGCAATTATTTATGGAAATGTGAGAATTGTTGAGAATTGTTGATGCGAAAATTCTTTCCTAAGACTATTACTATTTTATAAAATTATTTCTGTTTATTTACGCTTGAGTTTACACCAGCAACTTCAAAGTTTTATCAAATTAAAGTATTTTATTCAATCAGATTAGCAAAGTATTAGAATTGATCCAAGAATTCTTTCCACGTAATTATTTAAGCTCCGTTTATACAGCATAATCATCAAGAATGCTGATACCAACAACTTAAAAATTATATAAAAGTTAAGTATATTATTTAATCAGATTTTGTTTACAATTGAGGTAAGCTGTATGACACAAATTACTCTTTCAATATTCTCGCGTTTTTCGAATTCTTATAAAATTAAGAAGACACAATAAATTGCAAAAATTGATATTGAAATCTGAGGAAATAATTTCGTCACCCAAATATGGATAACGCAACGGTCAATTTCGAGGGAAGAGGATTCCCCGACTGAAGCAGCGGCCTCAGTTCATTTCACTGTCATTTCCTAACATCTCGCGACACGTTCTCCGCGGCCGAAAAATAATGAATCGCTCGCAAGCGCGCCAAATGGATTAGCATCCCGTCAGGTGGCTATCCAGCAGCGACAACCGGCCATTATTTTACGACCAGCTCCAGTGTCGATTCATTCGAACTAAACCGAGAACTCGCGTCGCGTCGTCTCGCCATCTGCGAGCGGCCGGCTAACGCGATCGCCGATTGTAACAGATAAAGAGACACGTCGCGTTCACCAACGCCGAGGCGACGCGACGCTCCCCCGAGAGAAATGTAATAATAATAACCGGCTCTACATTTCACAATCGGCGGACCAATGTTCCCCAAGGTCGATCCGTTCGATGCTTGTCGAACTTGAGCAAGGATTACGGGCAGACGTCTTTTCATGCCGGTCGCAAAAGTTCATGAAATGCCGCCTCGACTCTGCGAGAACCTGACTCTATGAAATTTTATCGAAACAGGAATACGATAAATGCGAGCTCAACTTTGCTCCTCGTATTCGATCATCCAGTCCTTTATTACTTATTCCACTTTGCAGGAAAGCTACTGCTGTTTTATCTTTTCTATGCTTCTGCTATCTTTTCTATTTCTTCTATGCTTTTCTTTTATATTTTGAGCTTCTCTGGTTCGTCGATTTTTATGCTCAACGATTCGGCTCTTTATTTTGTATTCTATATTATTGGAGAATATAATGAACACGAAGAAGAAGATTATGATTGTCATTCAATCATTTTAAAGTACATACGATAGTTCCTTTCTGTTGTGGATTGTTGACTTTCATGCGAAGTAAAAATTGCCTGCATCAATTGCAAGAAATATAAATTAAGCAGCAAATTCTTTCTTCTCGATCGATAGCATTAACTGCTTCTATCAATATTTACTTAATTGATTTCCTTATTTGAATTGGATAGAGAATTAATGAACCCGATAAAAACAGTATTGTCCTTATTCACTTGATTTCAGCACATAGTGGCATCGACGGGAATGAAATAGTTGATAAAACCCTTAACTGATCTGACATATTTTCTGAAAACTCGTGCTCGCATAGCCACGACTGAATCCTTAGAAGAACAAACGAAATTCACTGGTAAAAAATTCTTCCTGGCATCCTTGGTTCGGATAAACATAGCCTCCAGCAATCAATCATCATTGCGGATGTCCGGATGAAGATCTTGATCACATTATTTAGTAATGCCCAAAGTTTGATAATAATAGAGAAACTCTCGGCAAAGAGCTCATTAAAAAAGGTTACTATTCCCCTTATATCATAAGTAGTTTTCTTTACAAGCTTGAAATTTCCCCCTTATTATCCATTTTCAAATGTAAAAAGAAACCTAGATTTGTACATGTAATTTATAGTACATAATAGCATGTAAATTATTGCATAATACTTACTTTCTCGCTGCTAACCCATGCGGGGTTCTAGCAGCATAATAAATAAATGAAAAGAAGAAAATAAATTATTTCTTTCTTACCTTAATAGACTAACATTGTCTAAAATTATTTTAATCTTTATACTGTTCTAAATCTGAACAACTCAATTTTGCGTTAAGTGCATAAAATCCACATTCTAGTTACCAGACTTTAACCCTTTCATAGGCACTGGGAATTGTGCTTCTCATCCATTTTTAGTGCGCATGTGGACATAGCCTTTCCATCAAATATTTTCAACATTGAGATGTGTTGTCATCTTGAAAATTCATATTGTGCCCATGAAAGGGTTAAGCTGCGAAGTTTAAAGAAAAAGAATACATAAATTTAATTCAATATTTTCTTATACTATAACGCTATTGCTGAAACGTTCGTACACTATCGTTTTAATATATTACGTACTCTTACAACGATCGTAAAGATCCTCCCTATTCTAAAAAGAGTAAAAACGAACATACGTAAATTTAGTGCAATTTAGTATGAAATTTAGTACTATAACGATTTTGATCAAACGTTTGCACTCTATCGTTTTCAATATATTACATTCACTAGCTTCCACGGCAATCAACAATCTCAAACGCTGCTCCGCTACTTTCTTCGCAATCCCAGCAATAGCATCTCCAACGACGCCGAATAATTATTACCGTCACGTGAAATATAACAATAAATCCTCTCTCTGCTGGCCAGCACCTCGACCGACAGGATTTTGCGAGTCAGTCGCCCAGCACCGTGCAACTTCGATCGACCCTACCGTTTCGTCCCACTTACTACCGATCCCCGAAACGACTCTAAACCAGCCGGTCACAATGGGCCGACTATTTCAGCAGTCGAGACGAGTCGCAGCGAGTCCGAAAGAGAGTTATCACGGTGACAATCGTGCCGGTGACAGAGACGGGAAGATTGGTGCGTCGATCCCCGAGTCCCTATCAAGCAACGTCAATCCCGGCGTGGCAGGCTAGAAGCGTTTCTTGGTGGTCCGGAGGATTCGATAGAGGAAACATGGGAGCGAGTTCAGTTTCGAATCTGTGCAGGCACATTCCATTCCATTCCAAAGCCGACCGTCGCCTGGTCCCTCCTAACAGCAGCGTCCGGTTGACCAGCCATCGACGGTCAAAGGGGAGAGATCGCCGTTCCCGGGCACGCATGCCAATGCCTCGCAGACGAGAGAGGATCGTAGAGAGACCAGCTATATCTACGGCCCGCCAAAAAATTAACTGCTGTATTGGCGAAGCGATGGGGCCGTCTCCGGGAAATTAGATTGGCTCCGGAGACAGAAAGTTTGGCAGCGGACGTCGGCCCGAACGAAACACGTCCGACGAGACGGTTGTACGCTGACAGGCATCATGCGCCCGCAAATGTGACAATTAGGGAGGATGGATGGAGTTTTGGGGATTGTTTTGTTCCTGGAATGCTAAACAAGCTGACTGGGCTTCGTTCGGCTGGTGCATGACCTCTTCGAGTTTTACCGAGAGCGATCTTAAGGCGGCGCGTACGTTTTCGTGTATTGTGTGTTTTATGTATCGTTGAGATATTGGGAAATTATAATATATCGTACTAAATTTTTCTACCGTGTTAGCACCGGAAATGTTCGTTAAAATCGTCCGTCACAATTGGTGGTTCGCACAATGATCGGTAGTTCATGTAGTTTGTAATTGAGTATTGGTTTCAGTAATCTACGGCGCGTGCTTTTTACTCGAGTTATCTTTATGACGTGCACAATCTATTATGACGTTGCTTTTAAGAGAACAAAATGGGTTGTGGTTGGATGTGTAGGTTGAGTGTATCGCTATCGACGATACAGTGTAGAGAAAAATAATAAATATTTAAGAAACAAACGAGACATTGGCAGAGAACAGGCACAAGCAACAAACGAGTAGTCAGACAAATTTCAAACGTCAAACGTTTCGACGAATCAAAACTTCGATGGCTAGGTTTAGATGTTCTTTTACATCACAAGCTAATCGTGCATTCTACAACAAATGTATAATTCAAAATAATGTAACTACAACGCTGCGGATTTCATGCATTTACGGCGAAACTGGCTAGATGAAATCGTGAAAACGATGTGCGAAAGATGAGAACATTGTTGTACTGTTCCGAGTATATAATATCTAACTTCTGTTGCTTGAAGTCGACGCAGACAACTTGTATTTTGCGTAAAAATCTCATTCTTCGGATATTATTGTAAATTTAATGATCGCGGCTTTGTTTGTAGGCGAATAACAGTTGTTGCGAACAGAATAAAGCAACGTTGCAGCTGCGGAACAACGTTCTAAAAAGCTCGTTCCGCGGACAACAAGCCGCGTCTCTCTTTCACTGCGATTTTTTTGTTGCCTGGAAACATGAATTATGATATTCGGCTTTACGGCGATCCTTGTATCCCCGTGGAACGAGCCCGAAAGGAATAGTTGCAAGCTGGAATGAACAGCAGTTTCCCCCGTGTCAAAACCGAATAGAAATTTGAGGCTGCAAAGGCAGCCCAATTCTGAAGGATATTACGTTGCAAAAATTCCCTTTGAAGATTCATAATCCTTCTGCGAAACGCCTACCGTGCCTCGGAAGGCTCGATGCGCGCTCGACCGGCGCCATTTTTATCGACGCCCTCGCGGCGGAACACTTTTTCTGTCGCAATTCTAGATCGTCGATAAAAAATACCGCCGCTCCGGCAATTTTTTACTATTTTTAAGATATGCTAAAAGAAAGAACAACGAATTATTCAACATTTCTCCGGTAATCTAAATTCCGGTGGCCTCGGAGAGGCTTTTAAAAAAGCATTCTCTCACGGGAATAAATTGCTTTCGCACAATCGATTCGTAACTTTGGGGCATTTATTTTTACTTGGGAAATTTGTTGATCGCGGTTCGAAGATCGTACTCCGATTTCAAAAGTAAATTGTGCCGCTTTCTACTTCAAATCCACAGCAAAATGACTAACCGAACGACAAAGACCGAACGAGGCATTGAATCGTAATGCAGCTTGTACATTTCGAAATGTGATATTAAAGAAAATCGCCGAAGAAAATATAATAATAAATAACGCCGATCGGAGAGCTGCGACTTCTTTTCGAACAACTTGATCTGTGAGAAATAGTGCTATGATCGCGGCGCGATTCGTCGGACCCTAAGTCCCGTTCCAGTACAAAGTGATCTTTCCTGGCGTGAAAGACTGTTTACCCGACCGAAAATAGACTGCTGGCAATTTGTTCGGATCGTGTATATTTCGAGTCGCTTTTCAAATTTCCTGTTTCTTTCGGTGTCACCGACGGGGACGCGAAGAATGACGGGGGAACGCTTTGAGCGTAACCGAACGCGGTGCAGGGAATCTCGCGCAGGTGATCGGAAGGTGCAACGATAAATTGCTGCTCATCAGTCTCCCGGCTTTTAGGTAATGTGTCACCTTGCAGCAGCAATGTATCAGTCTCGCAGGTTAGCATCGGAGTGATCTTTTCTCGTGCACCTTGCTGCCGCCTTTCAGATCGTTCGAGATATATTTCTGCTGTCAGGATCTCGTCGAAATCGGAAAGATTTCATTTTGATGCTCCTAGATCTCGTTCGGTGAACCGTGTTGTCATTACCCGAGTAAAAGCGAATGAAGAATACTAACGCGGGAAAGTAATTCGGACGTAATGAGGTACTTAAGAAGGTCTACTAGAGTAAATGAGCCTCGCTGCTCGTTAGGCAGGGTTCCGTCGGGCGGCAACATACTTATCTCCTTGCCTCGATTGCTAATCAGACACTTGTCCTAACCTTCTGCTAATTTCTCCACTATCTTAGAAGGCTAGTTTAATGCCGAAACTAATTTGTAGGCTAGTTAGCGCGCAGTGGGGGCTAACATGTGCTCAAAATGTATTTTTAACCAAGCTAGATTGACAAATGATTTCAATGCTGCACTCGTTGCAGTTCGATGCCAACTTCACCTGTTTCCTTGGAACAATTTTCCAGAGTTCGCCGCATCGGATCAAGAATGAGACTCGTTACACAAAATAAATACAGTCCCCGTTAATCGCAAGACGTGATAAAACGTTCGTTCGTTTCATCGAGTCAGTTAGCGCGAGATCCAAAGTTTCCCAAAGCCCTAACAAGACCTCGTGCAGCCCGCGATAATCGTAAAATCCCGACTCACCGACGCCGGCGACGTGGATCTTCTTCATCCACGGATAAATCACTCGGTCCCCGTTGTCCTCGTCGTCGTCCTCGTCCTCCATCATGCCGGGCGACCCGTCCATCATCTGATCGTCCTCCATGTCATCCTGATCGGAGCCGTCGTCCACGTGAAGCTGTTGCGACTGTTGCTGGTTCTGCGACTGTTGTTGCTGTTGCGCGTTCTGTATGTGCTGGGCCTGTTGCCCGGCCGTCGGTTGCTGTTGCAATTCGGGCGAGTTGTCGCGGTGCAGCTGGCTGGAGCTGGCCGGGCTGCACGCGTTGCTGTCGTGCTGACTGGCCGGCTGATGATGCTGAAGACTGTCCGGCGGCGGCGGGGCCTGCACATGATTCTGCATGATACCGGGCGAGAGCGGCGTGGACCCGAGGACGGTGGACGCGGACACAGGTGGTTGCTGTTGGGGCTGTTGTTGCGACTGCATCGCGGATGGACAGGTGAGAGGAGGTTGCTGGGCCTCGGGAGGCATCGCCAGGGCGCCGACCGCGTGGTGATGCGGATGCAGGCTGGCATGGTGCACGGCGTGCACTTGGTGATGGGGATGATGGGGACCGTAGTAGCCGCCGTAGCCGGCGTAACCGCCATTCAGCTGAACCGCCGAAGAGGCGCCGTACGGGGTCGAGGCTGCCTGATGGTGGTGCTGATGGTAGCCGTATTGCAGCTGATGGGACTGAGGATGGTTCAGGTGGTGGCCGCCCCCGCTAGTCGGGAAGAAATCGGCGCCGGTCGACGGGATATAGTTGCTCTGACTATACTCCTCGCTGGGTGGGAACTTCGGGTCCACCATCACCGAGGTAGCAGCCAGGTGGTGCGCCCCCGCGGCCTGCTGGTGCTGGTGATGATGGTACCCGCCGCCGGCGGACGGATTCATCAGGAACGAACTCATCTCGCGGGCGATCACTGACCTCTTTTTTTTCCGGGCGAAACTAAGCGACAGACACTGTTGTCCTCTTTGGATCGGTCTCGAGTCAGTCCATGCTGACGATGTTCATCGTATCGGAAGCGCGCACACCGCACTGCACCCTGGCTGGCCCCTGGCCGACATCCCTCTCTCCCCTTTGGTTCTCCGCGTGCCCGGCACGGGGTGACTTTTTCCTCCCGACGGGGGAAAGGGTGCACGCCACGGGAAAAAGGAGACGAGAAGGGAAGAGAAGAGGAGAGAGGAGAAGAGAAGAGAAGAGAGAAGAGAGAAGAGAAAAGAGAGAGAGAGAGACCACGGAGAGACCAGCAGCGGACTCCCGGCGGACAGCTGCTTATCCTCTCCTCTCCTTCCGCCTTCCACTTTCGCGATCCTACGCGAACCTCCGCGGCCTCGTTCGGCTCCTTCCCGCCCACCGGGGCTCAATTACCATACCACGTGACCCCGGGCCGGACCAATCAGAGCCGACCGGAGCCCGCGACCATCATGGTTAGCGAGGCACGCATGCAACACGTGAGTGGCGCCGCGAGAACCACTGCGGCAGGTGCACCAACTTCTTTCTTCTCACCTGAGCGACCGTCAACTCTGCGCAACCGTTTTCTGCTAACTCTCGGATCTCCTCGGGTCCTTCGATCCGACACAAAAACCACTTCTCGATCGATTACAGACTCCCCACCGTTGTCCTTCGACGCACTATCCTGTCGAGAACCGCGGCCGAAGTTCGAAAACCTTGGCACCCTGTACCCCTGAGGACTCGCGCGGAGGTCACTCGGGAATGATTACTCGGATCCTTCGGTTTCGACGAAAAGTCACCGCGCACTGTAATTGCCGAGATGCACCGACGTACGGAATCGCGTCGACCGGCCAAGCTGTCAGAGAGCCATGAAAGTGAGCTCGTCCTGCCTCGGCAGAAACTCGTCTGGCAACTCCGGCCTGTTCCCAACTCCCTCCAGGTTCAACATCGCCTCCGAGCCGATACGGCTGAGCCGGGGACAGCCCCTCTCCTCGTCCTAGTCGGCATTCTGGCCCCCTCTCTTGGACCAGCCCCACCACGAACGATCACGAGACCAACCCCTGCCGCGGAAACCGTGGATCCCGTGCCCTTATGGGGCCATACTCGAGGGCACCGATATGTATAGGAACCGTATAGTCACTCCTACGGATCTCCTTAACCCGCCTCCATCCCGACGGAAATCCATCTTAGCAGCGTGGCCAACGCTCGAAACGATGCCGATCGACCGGCGACTTTATTGAGTTCGAACGGGGTTAAATGACACACCCGGGCCTAATTGAGGGCTGATCGCTCGGATTATATCAGAGATTCTCGCGGGCGCGATCGATCGGGCTGATCATGGCTGACTTTTGAGGGCTGGCGCTTCGAGAATGAGGATGGACGGCTTTGAAGGATCGCGGTGGTTTTCGAGCGGACGAGGGTGAGTAGAGAAGTATGATGCTACTATCGGATCTTGTCCAAGGATTGAGCTGTTTGTCCGTAGTCCGCGTGGACTACGCTTTTTTAATCTGACGCTGCTGATTAGCCATTTTTATTTAGGACAGAGAACTTTTTGGAAGTAGAGAGGATGATCGAAGAAGATTTGTTTAGTGAAATCTTTGACGCAAGATTAACAGACGAATAATCTTGTAGGAATTATTGTTTGACTCGGGGAGATCTTGAGGTGGGCCTTACTCGCATATACTTTTGTATCAACTTGGAATCTCTGCAAAACCATTTCTTGATCGTGTCATCTGTGCATAAGAACGCACGCGCGACGATAATTTGTGTACATGACATCGAACTTTGTTTGCTGAGACACGTTTCTTTTACCTGTACACAGAGACCGCATTGAAATCCTTATCTTGATTAAAATCCTACAAATCAAAGCTAGAGTTCTCGACAGATATACAGAGTTGTATTTCTCTGTAGACTGATAAAATTGCGAAGATTGATTGAATGAAATGTTCTATCGTTTACATAATTCAGTCTCTTTTGCGCAGCACGATGGAATGATTGTTTTACAAACTAGGACCACTGCTATTTACATGTTCCTAATTTCCACCCCCAACTGTTTGATTCAGTCCTGACCGACAGCTTATACTTGTGCCATCTATGGAGAACTGTCTTTCTTTCTAGACCTGATAGAATTACAATGGATAATTGATTGAAGCATTGCACCCTCTATCTACTTCAACCTCTTCTGCACAATGCGATTGAACGATTGTCAAAAATTCAAATCGCTTTGGATCGGTGCTTTAGAACGCTCGCGCGACGTTAGCTTTTCTAAACAGCGTCGAACTCAGCAGGTCGAGCTGAGCGAAGAAGTGAACGAGCTGGAATTACATACACACAACGGCCGCTTTGTTTATATCGTCGCAATAATCCCAATTTCAAACCTGTTGTTTAAATTTGAAATTTTCCATTGTCTCTCATGCAGCGTCGTTCGTTAGGGCATTGCCTTCATTCGCTGAGACAAATTTCGGCGCTGCCTAGTCCTTTCGATGTTCAAAATCCCACTCCTTTTCCTTTCCTACCTAATTCTCCCTAATCGACGCACAAATTGTACCCAAAAATGGACAATTTGGAAGAGGAAAGACAATGGACAATTTGGAAGAGAGCTTGCGGCTCGAGTTTATAGTTAGCGATTGTCAACGACTATGAAAACGAGCTGAAAGACTAGAATGATCGTATCTCCTCTTTCCAAAGTGTCCATTTTGTTTCCAAGCTTCCAAGTCAATTAGGGAGAATTTACTGTTAAAAGGCCATCACGGTGCTGTTACGTCTAGTTATCTTCTCTTGTTACGCTTATATCTATCTCTGCGTTTGCAGCTTATTATTGGTTACGCTCGTAATTCTGCGCTTGCAGTCCAGTGTCGCTTTATACTCTTGCCCTTGCAACTCTCGCTACAGCTCTATAGCTGTGATAGATCGCTTGATCATATCACTCGCGCGTTTCGCGACATTTCATCAGTTTCCGTGTCGGTTTATCACTCTATATTGTACATTTTTTCCCTCTGTATCTATCTAATTCGTAGAATATATTTAGTTTGATTAAAACACAGTCTATCATCGTACAATCCACTCTCCAACCTTTTTATCCTTTCAATATAATAGCTAGAGTTCCCTTCAATAAATAGTTAGAGTTTCCAACAACGATCATTTCTCAAACTAAAACCAGTGCTACTTAAATGTCCCTAACTTCCACCCCTAATTGAGCCAGTCTTAACTAATAGCTGTATATTTTCGTCAACTATGAAGTACTCTCTCTCTCTCTCTCTCTCTCTCTCTCTCTCTCTCTCTCTCTCTCTCTCTCTCTCTCTCT